AATAATAATAATAATAATAATAATAATAATAATAATAATAATTTGAATTAACCATAGTTTTTACTTCCCCCCCACCCCTTCCCTTGTACGCAGGTGGGAGTAGTGATTTGAGGCAACAGTTAAATATTTCTGTGCGGGACCCTTAGTTTTTGATTTGTACCTCTGTACCAGGAGGAGATAGAGAAAGATACGAATGTGCGGCAGGAAGAGGGAGAAGGACAGGCAGCGGTGGTACCTTGGAAAAGGCGTGCTGGGCAAAGAGGAAGAGGAGTGCTTGTAGCTGAAGGAGAGGCATCCTGCTCCTCGGTTGAAAAGCCACCGCACTCTCCAAGCGGTTAGAGTGGCTGGACTTCATCCCAGCGGTGCAATTAGCACCCAGGTTTTGAAGCAGAGCAACTAGTTCCCTCTAACTAAAGGTTTCCTCGATAAAAGAGCCCTGTGCGCCCCTGCCTGAAGTTCCTGCTTCAGTCCTGACTTGGCAGAGAACGGCCAACAGGTCTCGTGTTTCCCAGAAGGATGGCTGGCAAGCAGCCCGCCGGCAAGAATCGGGGACAGAGGCTGGTATTCACCGCGGTGATGTCTGTCCTCAGCCTGGTAACAGCAGCTCTGCCAGGCACAGAGTGCAGCTGTGGGTGTCATCCAGCTGTGCTCCCCAGTCAATATAAGGCAGAAAAAACTGTTTCCACTGGGGTATCCCCCTCCCCGCTCCCTGGGAGAGAGAGCTGGAGAACAGGGGAGGGAAACAGACCAAGGTGAAACAGACCAAAGTGTAACAGACCAAGTAATTTTAAGTCTAGAGATTAGCTCCTGGCTTCAGCCCTGTAGCAGGTTCCTGGCCACAATCATCCGCATCACCTCGTTGGTACCTGCAGCAGGACGAGGGTGCAAAAGAAAAGACAGTTAGGGAGATGATCCAGTTCTGCCCCCAAGGAAAGCAAAGAGAATTCTTCCCTGGCCTGCAGTCTACAGCACAAAGCTCTTCCCACCCACTGAGGTGGCATTTAGGAGGTGCTGGGCCAAAATACAACTGCCAAGTGGCACCACATCACTCGGGAAAGGCTTCGAAGCGGTCGATAGTGGTGCTTGGTTTTATTTGAGCATTGAGAGGCACTCATAGGGCCTCATAGGGCTTCTCTGCTTTACATATACACAAAACAGACAGAAAGACTGTAGACCCACTCGGTATTGGAAATGAGTATGTCCCTTATCAGGTACCCTGGTCGTAGGGGAAGGGATTTCAAAACAAAATGGTTTGGAGGCTGAACTGGGATTAGAAAAGGCCAGACACTGTTAGAGACACGCTGTCAAAGAGTGAAGATAGACTGGAATCACAGTAATGGAACTGCTGTGGAGCATCAGCACACGGCTGTGGGAGTAATGGGATGAAATGGGATAGAGGCACCTCTAACATGACAACTCCATATCCCCCCGCTGCTGTAAGACTCTTAAATACACAATAACTGCTCCAATACACCAAGGACTCTTGGCCAGGGAATTCCCACACGTGACATCCAGGGACACCCCATGCCCAGAGCAAAAGGGAATTCTGAAACCCGAGAGTCAGAGAGTCACGTGGGAAGGCGGGGGCCTCTGGAGGGGCTGGTCCCTCCTGGCTTCACTGCCAAGTGGCTGGCACTAAGAGTGTCTTTTACCTTCCAGGATCTGGTGGACTCTGATATCTCGCACAAACTGCTGCACAGCATAATCCTTCAGGTAGCCGTAGCCCCCGTGCATCTGCAGAGCCTGGTTACAGATCTAGGAAGATAACATCGCTGGTGAAGTGACTCCCATGGATAAGTCAGTGACAGAAATCCGGTAAGAACCCAGGAACCTGGGCTCTATTTTTAAATTATTTTTCTGGTCATTAATCTCATCTCTTAACGAAGTGTGCTGTGACAGCACAGCGCTCTCAGTCCCCATCACTCCTGCTATCAGTGCTACCATGTCACCCAAGTGCTGCTTCACATTAATAGTGCATTTATGTGAACAAGATAGCATAGGAATACCCAGGAAGCCCTTAACTAAGGCAATTTTGACTGCGTTTCCATGGTGGTACTGATGGAAAAATCAAATCGCCAGATCACCACCTACCGGTCGGTGGGGGGAGGAATCTGCTCAGGGCTCTGACCAGGAAGCTGTGGAGGGGCTAATCCTGCAGCCTCCAGAGGATGCAGAATTCTCTTTCATAAAACATCCTGGTGCTGCAACGAAGCTTCTGGCTTAACGAACATGCTTGGGTCTGGGGCATGACAGCGTCAAACTGCTTTTCTGACATCTCCAAGCTTCTGAGCTTCTAGCAACCTACCGCAAAGCATTCGTCGGTAGCGAAGAGCTTGGCCATGGAGCAGAGCACCGCCGCGTCCTCCCGTCCCTCCTGCAGCGCCCGTGCTGCGTTGCGAACCATGAGCCGTGCCGCCACCAGGCGCGTGGCCATCTCCGCCAGCCTGAACTGCAGGTACTGCCAGCAGGAGAGGAGAAACGAGGTCAGCCTCTTTTGAACCACATCCTTCAGGCAGGTCTTTAGGCCTTTTTTGACTCAGGAAAAGCACTTTCCTGACTTCTCCAGGGAAGACCCTGTGAAGCAAGCGATGAGACCTCTGGCTGCTTGATGAGACCTCAGCCAGGATCAGGAAGAGCAGAGCTCTGGGAGGGCAGGTCTGGTGGAGACATTACCTGATTCTTCGCCAGGGGTTCTCCAAACTGTTTGCGGACAGCGAGATGTTCCTGAGCCAGAAGGACGGAGGCATGAGCAGCTCCTAACGAACACGAAGCTGGTGGGAGAAGCCAAGGACACAGAGTGAATATGAAGCTCACGCAGACGGGCAACAAGATGATCCTGCCCTCCTCCCTTTGTTCTTTCTTACCAATATTTATCCTGCCTCCGTTCAGTCCCTTCATGGCAATGCTGAAGCCCTGCCCTTCGGCTCCCAGCCGGTTGCCAACAGGAACAACACAGTCCTCGAAGATGACAGCCCGAGTTGGCTGGGAATTCCAGCCCACCTGGGAAAAAAACAGAGCACCTTCCAGACTGCCCGAGGAGCAGCTCCCAGCAGAGAACTGCCCACCCCGCTCTCGGCCCCTCGGTCTCATTGCCATGCTGCCACAGAGCCCCTGTGGTCTACGTGGTTTGGCCTCAGCATGCTGAGTTGGAAACTGGAAACTCTATTTGAGAAAAGGAACCTTGATGTTTCTGAGATTAAAATCCTTCACTCTGCAAAGGGACAGGATCAGGCAAACTTCACCAAAGCTGGATTTGGCTTGGAAAAACCATGCCAGGCTGGGACTCCGGTCCCATCCAAGAGGAGTTCCCTAATGCTTTGCACACGCGAGCTCGCCTCTGTCCCACACTTCCCTCAGGCACACGGGGAGTAAAAACCAAGCTTTTTACCTTCTTCTCTTTCTTGCCAAAGCTGAGCCCTGGTGTCCCCTTCTCCAGCACCAGGCAGGAGATGCCCTTGGGGCCTGGGCCTCCTGTGCGACACATGACCACGTAGACATCGGTGTCACCCCCTCCACTGATGAAGGCCTGCAGAAGGGCACAGGAAGAAAGGGGTGGCTTTCACATGCTGAGCACGCAGCAGCAGCTGGGGTACAAAGACGGAGGGGCAAAGACCCCACACCAGCAGGTATTTAGGGACCCAACTGTGCTAAGCTCTGGTGAACGCTCTGCGGAGCACATCCTACCTTGGGAGAACACACAGAGATGAGGAGACAGCAGGAAATGGAAAGGATGGTTAGACCCAGGCCCCCTTGCACATGCAGTGCCATCCAGCAGCTTTAGGAGGAGCAAAGAGGTACCTTGGAGCCATTCAGGACGTAGGTGTCCCCTTTCCTCTGAGCTGAGGTCAGCAAGGAAGCTGCATCACTTCCACTTCCTGCTCGGGAGGTAAGGAAGCAGCCAGTGAAGCAGCAGGTCCAGAGCCTACAGGCTCTCCCAGGAGCATCTCAGCAACCATCCTCTGCCCCTTCCCAACCGCCACGCCATTGCCCAAATGAACATGAAAAGAAACTTTTAACCTCCAGCTCCGTGCCATGTCCGTGTCCAGCTAAACCAACGTTAGGAGGGAGGGAAGGGAGGTAGATTTCTCCATCGAGGATGCTCACCTGGCTCAGTCAGGCAGTAAGAGGCAAATTTTTCCATGCTACAGAGTGCTGGGCAGAACCTGCGCCGCTGTTCCTCGTTGCCAAAGGTGTCGATCATCCAAACACACATACTGGAGCAGGAGAGAAGGAGCAGCGTTACAGCAGGTGAACATAGCCCTGGGAGGAAGGCGAGTCAGGGAAGAACATCCCTGGCCAAACAGAAGAACAAAGCTCGTTGCGAACCATGAGCCGTGCCGCCACCAGGCGCGTGGCCATCTCCGCCAGCCTGAACTGCAGGTACTGCCAGCAGGAGAGGAGAAACGAGGTCAGCCTCTTTTGAACCACATCCTTCAGGCAGGTCTTTAGGCCTTTTTTGACTCAGGAAAAGCACTTTCCTGACTTCTCCAGGGAAGACCCTGTGAAGCAAGCGATGAGACCTCTGGCTGCTTGATGAGACCTCAGCCAGGATCAGGAAGAGCAGAGCTCTGGGAGGGCAGGTCTGGTGGAGACATTACCTGATTCTTCGCCAGGGGTTCTCCAAACTGTTTGCGGACAGCGAGATGTTCCTGAGCCAGAAGGACGGAGGCATGAGCAGCTCCTAACGAACACGAAGCTGGTGGGAGAAGCCAAGGACACAGAGTGAATATGAAGCTCACGCAGACGGGCAACAAGATGATCCTGCCCTCCTCCCTTTGTTCTTTCTTACCAATATTTATCCTGCCTCCGTTCAGTCCCTTCATGGCAATGCTGAAGCCCTGCCCTTCGGCTCCCAGCCGGTTGCCAACAGGAACAACACAGTCCTCGAAGATGACAGCCCGAGTTGGCTGGGAATTCCAGCCCACCTGGGAAAAAAACAGAGCACCTTCCAGACTGCCCGAGGAGCAGCTCCCAGCAGAGAACTGCCCACCCCGCTCTCGGCCCCTCGGTCTCATTGCCATGCTGCCACAGAGCCCCTGTGGTCTACGTGGTTTGGCCTCAGCATGCTGAGTTGGAAACTGGAAACTCTATTTGAGAAAAGGAACCTTGATGTTTCTGAGATTAAAATCCTTCACTCTGCAAAGGGACAGGATCAGGCAAACTTCACCAAAGCTGGATTTGGCTTGGAAAAACCATGCCAGGCTGGGACTCCGGTCCCATCCAAGAGGAGTTCCCTAATGCTTTGCACACGCGAGCTCGCCTCTGTCCCACACTTCCCTCAGGCACACGGGGAGTAAAAACCAAGCTTTTTACCTTCTTCTCTTTCTTGCCAAAGCTGAGCCCTGGTGTCCCCTTCTCCAGCACCAGGCAGGAGATGCCCTTGGGGCCTGGGCCTCCTGTGCGACACATGACCACGTAGACATCGGTGTCACCCCCTCCACTGATGAAGGCCTGCAGAAGGGCACAGGAAGAAAGGGGTGGCTTTCACATGCTGAGCACGCAGCAGCAGCTGGGGTACAAAGACGGAGGGGCAAAGACCCCACACCAGCAGGTATTTAGGGACCCAACTGTGCTAAGCTCTGGTGAACGCTCTGCGGAGCACATCCTACCTTGGGAGAACACACAGAGATGAGGAGACAGCAGGAAATGGAAAGGATGGTTAGACCCAGGCCCCCTTGCACATGCAGTGCCATCCAGCAGCTTTAGGAGGAGCAAAGAGGTACCTTGGAGCCATTCAGGACGTAGGTGTCCCCTTTCCTCTGAGCTGAGGTCAGCAAGGAAGCTGCATCACTTCCACTTCCTGCTCGGGAGGTAAGGAAGCAGCCAGTGAAGCAGCAGGTCCAGAGCCTACAGACTCTCCCAGGAGCATCTCAGCAACCATCCTCTGCCCCTTCCCAACCGCCACGCCATTGCCCAAATGAACATGAAAAGAAACTTTTAACCTCCAGCTCCGTGCCATGTCCGTGTCCAGCTAAACCAACGTTAGGAGGGAGGGAAGGGAGGTAGATTTCTCCATCGAGGATGCTCACCTGGCTCAGTCAGGCAGTAAGAGGCAAATTTTTCCATGCTACAGAGTGCTGGGCAGAACCTGCGCCGCTGTTCCTCGTTGCCAAAGGTGTCGATCATCCAAACACACATACTGGAGCAGGAGAGAAGGAGCAGCGTTACAGCAGGTGAACATAGCCCTGGGAGGAAGGCGAGTCAGGGAAGAACATCCCTGGCCAAACAGAAGAACAAAGCTCCAGGGGGTGGAGGTGAGAAAGCCTATTGCTCCACATCAAACCAGAACAAAATTAGGTGCCACAGAAGCCAGGAGGAAGATCACCTTCCACTCCCCACAGACTCGCTGCCTCGTGGAACAGCAGGTCCCTATTTAACAGCCTCAGGGCTCTCCTCAGGGCTAAGCCCGACTGTCTCCTTGGAAAACTGCACCTGGGAGAAGGAGGCATCGTCACCCCATCCTTCCGTGCCACATCAGCCCGTCACCAAACATGTCTGTACAAGCAGAACAGGGCCCCAGTATCAGCTGGTGTCTCCGGGCTCTGTTACAGCTCGACCAACACACAAAGGCTTTTTCCGGGCAGGTTACTATCTATAGACAGACAGCTTAAGTGGAAGAGCAGGGAACAAAATCCAGAACCTAATCCCCTCTTGCCTGCCACAAAGCTAAAATTACTTCTTGGTGGCATCTCTCAGCTAAAAGCCTATTTGTTTACGTCCTCACAGGGACGTGTCCACTTGGGGGTCCCAACTTTAAGTAATAAGAGAGGTGGGTCCAGCTGGATTTAGAGGAAAAATGTGGTTTTCAGCCAGGCTGACACCATCCAGAGCTCGGCAGAGACACTCACTTGTGGATGCTCATGTAAGCGGTGGTGCTGGTACATCCTGTTGATAAAGCTTCAAAGATGATGGAGGTATCAAGTCGTGACAATCCAGAGCCACCCACGTCTGGTTTCACGTAGATCCCACCGAATCCCAGCTGGGCCGCCTTCCGCATTGTTTCCACGGGGAATATTTCCTATTGGGACAGGCAGAGGCATTGCAAGTGAATGTTCCTGATCAATCCCATCTCAATGTTCAGCCCCTTTCAGTACATCTGAGCTGCCAAATCCGGTCCCGAACTCCTGCACAGTTTAAGTTAATTGGGCGGGTTAAAGACGAGGTGGCTGCCTGGAGAGATACGTACCACCTTTGGGAATAAATTCCGTTTTCAGCTGAGGGAATAGCCTGGCTAGGAAAGCTTCTAGGAATTTCTGATGGCTTCCCCACCCCGGCTACAGCAGCAGCGCCAAAGAAAATCTCTACAGGTGGCACCACAGCACCGAGGAGCTGTTGTGGGAACCCCTCTGATGAGCCCCCCAGGATGACAACACCTCAAGGGAGGGAACACTGAGCGGTACAACCCTCCTGAGGCTGCCATACCTACCTTCTCATCCCACTCGGCCATGTGAGGAGCCATCTCCTTGGCAGCAAAATCAAGGGCAACTTTTTGGAATTCCTTCTGCTCCTCAGTCAGGCCGGCGGACGCTAGAAAAGCAGGAAGTGATCGGGATACGCGTCAGTTGCGGGAAAACAAGCTCTACCACCTCCTCTGTAGCCCAATCAATTTCAACATGTCCCTTAACTCCATTTCTCTGTTCCCTGGGGCCACCATGAACTGGGCTGGTACGGGACAGCGGGCTTTGGGAGGGGACTTTTTTTAGGATGAAACGAATCCCAAGGCCCCAGCTATCCTTGTCTACTCCATGTTTCAAGACAGGGACCAGGGCAGCACAGCCCATGGTAGCCATCCTTCCATCTCCCTAGGTCTGTGCTGCAGAAACACAAGGACTCGGCCCTGGGACTTCACGGGGCAGCACAAGCCCATGGTAGCCATCCCTCCATCTTCCTAGGTCTGTGCTGCAGAAACACAAGGACTCGGCCCTGGGACTTCACAGGGGTGACACCAGAAAAGAAGCTACAAATAAAGAAGCCCTTTGGAAACGGCATCTAAAGTTTTGGGTAGATCCTGCATTGGAAACCACCTGCTTCGCTTACATGTAAGATCCCGGAGGTTGTTTTGTTAGTTCCTCTCCTAAAATTCATAGGGATGAAGCTGCTGCTTCCATCCTAAACGTGGTTACATTTAAACAAGGAAGCAATTCATCCGGGAAGGTCCGGGAATGCCGTAGGAGGAGTCCGGCTCGGACACAGCTCTTGTTCCATAACCAGAGCCCGTGCCCAGCCATCAGGAGACGGCTTCCATTGCAGGATAACCCAAGATTTACAGGCGGGTACAGCCTTCCCTGCCTCCCAGTGAGCCTTTGCACTGTTTTAACGAGCCTTTTTGCTTTTTTAAAGATATTATTAGATTCGCACTCGAGCTTGAGAAACCCTGAAGACCCAGCAAGGGCAGAGGGAAGGGGGAAGGCGCTTTTCCTTCGCGGGGCCGGGGCTCGGTGCAGGCAGGGACATCCCCCCACCCCTCTTTCCACCCCAAAGCCACCGACCCTCTCCCCACCTTCACCCCACACACCGCCTCCCTCCCCGCAGGGGGATCCCGGCGGCCCCGACCCGTCCCCGGTTGGGGGGTACAGCGGGGTCTCCTCCC